CTCTAACCGCTGAGCCAAACCGGCCAGGGCAGCCTTTAGTATATTGATCATAGTTATTGTAAACTCCTGGTCTGATAATTTTTACATCCCTGTCATGTCTTATTCTTATGTTTTCTCTATTTCTTCAAACTACTTTTTGCGTTTTGTTTGCCTTGTAATTTTTTCTTGATAGCTATGCATGATGTACTAGGTGAAAGGAACTGCTGTAAATAGGCCTTTTGCAATGAGGTGGGAGGGTGAGGCAGCCTATATGATTAAGTCTGTCTTTTAGTGAGCCTGTGCCTCTGGTCTTCCAGCTTCAGAGTCAGAGTGTTTTCCGGTTTCCTTCTCTTTCCTTAGGTGGGACAGGATGGCTAGAGTGGCTGGAGTTGGGTATTTTCTCCCCTCAGGGCAGGTAGGCTCTGGTTTAACCTGAACAGATTAATAGTTTCCCCTGAGGGCAGACCTTGTTAGGATCAGGATGCTCTGATTTACTTAAAAATGCTTCTTTTACCCTCTCCCTGCTGGAAGCAAAAAGAGGTTTTTCTCTGATATTTACTGTGGGAGTCTGAGCTCTCCTGGAAGTAAATCTGACAATATTTTGAGCCGTGCTCTGACTGGGTTCTCTTGGAGTTCGTAACACTTAAGAGTTGTCTGCACCAAGTCTCCAGCAATTTGTCAATTATGGTTCAGGCTTTTCCATCCTGGCTTTGATTTCCATGGAGGTTTCTGCTGGTGTGTCTCTTCTCCGGTAAGCCAGAGCTGCCTGTATTTGTCTGTCTTTCCAGTCGTGGGAGCATCAGTTTGCCTGTGTGCTCCTCTGTTTTTGGATCCAAGAAGAGTTGTTGATTTTTCAGTCTGTTCAGCTTTTTACTTGTTAGGATGGAATGGTGACTTTTAAACTTCTTAAATGGGAAAATAGATATGGGAAGAACCATGTAAGATATTTAAAACATCTGTACAATTTATAAGTGATAACAGATACCTGAGTACCCTTCTCTGATTTTCTTTTTGGTCTGATTTTTCATCTTTGTATCTTATTGCTGTACGGTTTTAGGAAAATTTCCTTAATGTTTTCTTCTAACACTTCTATAGAGTTTTTTATTTATACTCTCATATTTTGAATTTTCAGAAGCTCTTTTTTTCCCCCTTTGAGTAGTATTGTTCCTACTTCAGGGTGAAGTTTTATCATTGAGGTCATTAATTATATATATATTTTTACTTTTCCTTAAAAAATATTTTGGTTCTTTTTTTCTACCTAGTTTGCTTTGGAGTGGTTTTCATATTATATTCTTTCTTTGCATATTTGGTGATTGCTGTATGCTCATAATTAAGAATGGAAAATTAAAATGTTTGAAAGTTCTGTTAAATAGGGGGTCCAATGAACGGGGAGCCTCTACACTGGGTGATATGGCCCAGTCACTGCCTTGGACTGCGTCCTTTTTAGGGGGGCTTCTCAGATCCCCTGTAGAAGACTCAGCCAGTCTTTTGCCTACATAGTATATACCTGACACCATGTGGAGGAGTCAAATAGGGCAAGAAGGCTGGAGGTCTTAATAGGCAGTGTGCAAAATTGCACTTCCTAACCCCCTAACCCCCAACCATTTCTCGCTATGTACTGCTACCTTCATCTCTGCCTGGTGTTCTGCAGTTCAGAGACCCTGTGTTTCATTCTGTCCCAAGCATACACATCCAGTCTTTTCCTCAGTGGAGGATCCGATACTACTAATTACAAGCCTTTTGGGGATCATAGAAGTTGGCCCTTCAGGGGCTTTCCTTCTGCTGCTAAGGGTGTATCTTAGTGGGTGTACGAGGTCAGGTACCAGTCACATCGACTTTTTAGTTTCCAAATTTTTGTGGCTGTTGACTTTTCTGTTCTTTTGTTCTTGTGAGTTTAGGCTCTTTTTTTTTTCTCAATCCTCACCCGAAGACATTTTTCCATTTTTTGTTCAGATAGAGTGGGAGGGAGAGAGAGAGAGAGAAACATTGACGTGAAAGGGACACATCGAGTGGCTGCCACCCGCATGACCAACCAGGGCTGGGGACAAACTGCAACCCAGGTACATGCCCTTAGCGGAACCGAACCCGGGTCTCTCCGGACCGCAGGCCGACGCTCTAACCGCTGAGCCAAACTGGCCAGGGCTGGAATGAAAACTTTTTAACTAAAAGGAGTATATAGCAGGTAGTCATGTCTAAGGCTAGAATCTTCCCTACCAAAGTCAGTCTTGACCTTAACTTAGCCCTCTGTTTTCTTTTGCTTCTGTGATAACATTCCTTTGGAATGTCAAGGTAACTACCCTTTTATCAGACCCCTCAGGGCACAACCAATAGCTGAGACCATAAATCCTCTCATTGTTGTTGTCCTATTAATTGTTGACTGTTAACTGTCCTGTACCCACCTATGTAAAAAATGTATGTGTTGTCAGGCCGGTGTGGCTCAGTGGGTGTGGCTCAGTGGTTGAGCGTTGACCCATGCACCCAGGGGCCACCGATTTGATGCCGGGTCAGGGCATATGCCCAGGTTGTGGGCCCGATCCCCAGTGGGGGCATGCAGAAGGTGACCGGTCGATGTTCTCTCTCATTGATGTTTCTATTTCGCTCTCCCTCTCTCTTCCTCTCTCAAATCAATAAAAAAAATTTTTTTTAAGATGTCTGTGTTTATCATTTTACTTTTCACCCAATCCCAGAGGTTCCCCCCCACTTCTTTGCTTTTTTCCACCTCCCAGTGGATTTCATATAACCCACTTGTGTCTTCTCTTTTGATTGTAATGTATGAAATAAGGTGCAAAGCTGCCATTTTCTGGAGTATTATCTCAATCTGATGAGATTTTGCTTCCCAGCAGTTGTCGACAGTTTGGCTCAAATAAACTCACAAAAATTCTCTATAGGTTTGAATGTTCCTTATGTTCACATACATTTTACTTTTGATTTCTAGGGATTGTTCTTTTTTAAAATTTAATTTTGTTTCATAATTATGTATGGTTTCAAACTCAAAGTTACAAAATGAAGGACAGTGAGTGAAATCTGGCTTTTATCCCTGCCCCATCCACCCTGTTTCCTCCATGACCCTGCAGGCAACTGTTGTCTTTAAAATAGAACTGTTCCTTGCCCCCTGTTCTTCATCCCCTATTCTAATTTATTTTCCTTATACATCTTACCATTTCCTGCATTATTACCTTCTTTTGCTACTAGAATATAACCTTCATAAGAGCAGGGACCTGAGCTGTGCCAAGATAAATGCATTTCTCAGTTCCCATTTAGGGCCACTCAGGGGTATTTGTGATTGTCCCCCCGCCCCCTTTGAGCATAAGTTAGTAGAATAGTTTATTTTTTTTGAATTTATATTATTTGGTTAACACTTTGATTTCATATCAACACATATTAATTATACTTTTATAGCTATTTAAAAATCACACAGGGCAGTGTCATGCAGTGGATATATCAGTGACAGTGAGGGGCCGCTACCTTCTGAGCTGGGCTCTGTTCCTGTGAATAGATGGCTGAGGAGCAGATGAAGATAGCCTGTGGCAAGTGCTACCATGTCTGAGAGGCCCTGGCATCTAGGACTCTTGTTCAGCAGCCCATGCAAGACCCAAGAGAATATTTGTTATGCAGGAGGAGGGAGAGGCTCCAACATTAACGTGAACTACAGTCAGTTGTGCTAGAATGTGATGTCTGTTCTTAATCACCACAACCTGCAGGGTTGTTCAGTAAAGACAACAGAGTTTATGGGCAGATTAGGACTGGGGGTACAATATTCAGAACTTTGTCATTGACATATTAAAAGGAGCACAATAACAAAATAAATAAAATTTTAAGAAGGAGCACAATAAGACACTAGCACGGTTTTTGCACATGTTAAATGGTGAAAGAAATACATAAATACTGCAATAAATGTGACACTTGACCTTGAGAAGACTTGATGTTTGCTTGTGTAAGTGGGCATTTAAAGGGTTACAGCCTATAGATGAAGCTGCGTACAGTGCTCTGTCCACCTGCTGTTATTCCTAGAGGAAACTGCATGTAAGCAGCAAATGGTCGTGCTCAAATTGTTTCCTAATGTCAACATAAGAAACATCCAAACCTGTAGAGAATTTTTATGAGTTTATTTGAGCCAAACTGACAATTGCCAGGAAGCGAAATCTTAATGGACTGAGAAAATGCTCCAGAGAATGGCAGTTTTGCTCCTTATTTTACACATTAGAGTCAAAGGAGAAGACATAAGGGGGTTATATGAAATCAATTGGTGATAGGTTAGGGAGGCAGGAAAAAGCAAAGCAGGTAAATCTCTGTGATTGGATAAAAAGTAAAACTGAGCTGGTGTGGCTCAGTGGATTGAGTGCTCCCTCCCATGGACTTAGAGGTCCTGTTTGATTTTCCGTCAGGGCACATGCCTGGGTTGTGGGCTTGATCCCCGGTAGGGGGTATGCGGGGAGGCAGCCTATGGATGTTTCTTTCTCACATTGATATTTCTATCTCTCCCTTCCTTTCTCTCTACAAAATCAATAAAAACATTTTTTTTTTTTAAAGTAAAACTGATAGATACTTCTTTTACATTGGTGGGTATAGGGTAATTAACAACTAACATTTACAGCACATAGAGATGGTATGTGGGAGAACAAGATAGCAATGAGGGGTCCCCTGCTCTGGTGGGAGATTGTCCCCTGAGGGGTCTGGAAAAGGGGGATTATTCTGACATTCCAAAGGCACATTATCACAGATGCAAAAAGTCAGTACATGGGCTCAATTAAGGTAAAGGTTGACCTTTGTCAGGGAAGATACTGGCCTAGGACATGACTACCTGCCATGACACACTTTTAGTTGAGAATTGTATGTACAGACCATCCTATGTGGTTACTTTAGGTCTCTGAGTTTGTCAGGCCGCTGTGCAGGCTTCCCCTGAGCTTGTCAGGGTTAGTATGTGGCCCCTTTTTTGTCCACACTAATAATCATGTAGGAACAGTTTATGCTGAAGAAGATGGTATGGCAGCACTGATGGTATTTTTCTATTTCTCCTTTAGATGATATGCCAATGGGAACTGCAGGCAGACGACCTTCAAATGATTTCCTGGTGTTTGGAGGGTATGTTTACATATCACTAACTAAAAGATTTCTTATATTTTGGGTTTTTTGTGAGTAAAGTTATAGAACTTTGTGTGTTCTTGATTATAAAATTTATTTTGTTTCTCAGTTTATCATTTAAAACTATATAATTGTGGTATAAAATACATACATAAAATGTGCCATCTTAGCCATTTTTAAGTTTACAGTTGAGTAAAGTATATTCATTATTGTGCAACAGATCTTCAGAACTTTTTCATCTTGCAAAACAGAAACTTAGTACTTGTTGTGTAACAACACTCCCCATTTCCCCCTTCTCCAGGCACTGGCACTTTATAGAACCTCATATAAGTAGAGTTCTCTCTCTCTCATCTAATCTATCTGTCTATGTATGACTGGCTTAGCACAAGGTTCATCCATGTTTTGTAGCATGTCTCAGAATTTCCTTTTGAAGGCTGAATAATATTCCACTATGTGCATAAACCACATTTTGTTTATCCATTCATCTGTCAGTAAACACTTGAAGTGCTTCTGCCTCTTGGCTATTGTGAATGCTGCTATGACTCTGAATGTGCAAATATCTGTTAATTAAAAGACCCTGCACCCAGCAAGTGTGGCTCAGTGGTTGAGCATCAACTCATGCACCAAGAGGTCGCCGATTCGATTGCCGTTCAGGGCACATGCCCAGGTTGTGGGCCCGATCCCCAGTAGAGGGCGTGTAGGAGGTGGCCAGTTGATATTGTCTCTCATTGATGTTTCTGTTTCTCTCTACCTGTCCCTCCTCTCTTTCTCTCAAATCAATAATGAGAAGAAAAAAAAAGACCCTGCTTTTAATTCTTTTGGATAGATACTTAAAAGTAGGGTTGGTGGATCATATAATAATTCTATTTTCAGTTTTTTAGGAGATACCATACAGTTTTCCATAGTGGATGCCCCATTTTACATTCCTACCAACAGTATACAAAGGTTCCAAGTTTTCAACATCCTTGCAAACATTTGTTATTTTCTGTTTTTTTCCTTCCTTTTTGATGATAGCCATCTTTTTAAATTTTTTTTAAATAGCCATCTCCTTAATGTGTATGAGGTGATATCTTGTGATTTGCATTTCTCTAATGATTAGTAGTTTTGAGCATCTTTTCATATATCTGTTGGCCATTTTTATATCATCTTTGGTAAAATTTTGTCTATTCAAATCCTTTGCCCATTTTTTAATCAGGTGATTTTTTTTGTCGTTGAGTTGTATATGTTTTTTATATATTTTAGATATTAGCCCTTTATAAGATATGCAACTTATGAATATTTTATCCCATTCCATAGGTTGTCTTTTCACTCTGTTGATGTGTCCTTTGAGCACAGAAGTTTTAACATTTGATGTAGTCTCATTTGTCTATTTTTGTTTGTTACTTGTGTTTTTGGTATCCATCTCTAAGAATCATTGTCTAATCCAGTGATTAGGCATGAAAATTTTGTCCTATGTTTTATTCTAAGGGTTAATGCTTCTGAGTCTTATGTTTAGATTTTTAATCCATTTTTTTTTGTTTGTTTTATCCTCACCCGAGGACATTTTTCCATTTTTTGTTCAGATAGAGTGGGAGGGAGAGAGAAGAAGAGAGAGAGAGAGAAACATTGACGTGAAAGGGACACATCGAGTGGCTGCTACCCACACAACCAACCAGGGCCAGGGACAAACTGCAACTGAGGTACGTGCCCCTAGTGGGAACCGAACCCGGGTCTCTCTGTATCGCAGGCTGATGCTCTAACCACTGAGCCAAACCAGCCAGGGCTCAAATAATAACATTTAAAAATGCAGACCCTGCCCTGGCCAGTTTTGCTAAGTGGTTGGAGCATCAGCCTGTGGACCAGAGAGTCCCAGGTTCAGTTCCCACTAGGCCTTAGCAGCTAGGGGCATGTACCAAAAAAAATAAAAAAATAAAAAAATGCAGACCTTGCCCTGGCTGTTTCGGCTCAGCAGTTAGAGTGTCGGCCTGTGAACCAAAGGGTTGTGGGTTAGATTCCGGTCAAGTGCATGTACCTTGGTTGCAGTTCAATCCCTGGCTCTGGTGGAAGACAACCAACCAATCGATGTATCTCTCTCACATTGATGTTCCTCCCTTTCCCTCCTTCCCTTCCTCCCTCTCTGTCTGAAAATCAATGGAAAAGTGACCGTGGGTGGGTGAGAATTAAAAAAAAAAAATGTGGACCTCAGGTCAGTTCTGTGCTTTGAGAATTGCGCCATCTATTTTCTTTTTAACTTATCTTTATTGTTGAATGTATTATAGATGTTCACCTCTTTTTACCCCCCTCATTGACTCCCTCCTCCTCAACCCCACCCCCCCTCCTGCCTTCCCCACACTATTGTCTGTGTCCATTGGTTTGCATATATGCATAGAAGTTCTTTGGTTTATCTTTTCCCACCCACCCTCCCCCCTTCCCTCTGAGGTTTGTCAGTCAAACAAACAATTTGTAATTCTTAATTTCTTCATCTTTTTCACCCATCCCCATAGGCCCCTCCCATCTGGCAAGCAACAAAAAGTTCTCTGTATCTATGAGTCTGTTTCTGTTCTGCTTGTTCATTTTGTTTGTAGATTCAATTGTTGATAGATATGTATTCATTGTCATTTTACTGTTCATATTTTTGTTGTTCTCCTTCAAGAAGACCCTTCAGCATTTCATATGATACTTGTTTGGTGGTGATGAACTCCTTTAGCTTTTTCTTGTCTGGGAAACTCTTTATTTGTCCATTGATTCTAAATGATAGCTTTGTAGGATAGAGTAATCTTGGTTGTAGGTCATTGCTTTACATCACTTTGAATATATGTTGCCACTCCCTTCTGGCCTGCATAGTTTCTTTGGAAAAATCAGCTGACAATCTTATGGTAGCTCCCTTGTGGATAATTAACTGCTTTTCTCTTGTTGCTTATAAGATTCTCTCTTTGTTTTGAACCTTTTACATTTTGATGATGATGTGTCTTGGTGTGGGCCTCTTGGGTTCATCTTGTTTGGGGCTCTCTGTGCTTCCTGGACTTGTATGTCTGTTTCCTTCAACAAGTTAGGGAAGTTTTCTGTCATTATGTTTTCAAATAGGTTTTCAATTTCTTGCTGTCTCTCTTTTCCTCTGGCACCCTCATGATGCAAATGTCAGTACGCTTGACGTTGTCCCAGAGGCTCCTTCCACTATCCTCATTTTTTTTTTTTTTAATTTTTGCAGTTTTGATTGGGTGTTTTTTGCTTCCTTATATTCTTGTTCTATGGTTTGCTTCTTGGCTTCACCTACTCTACTATTGATTCCCTGTAAATTATTCTTTATTTCAGTTAGTGCATCCTTCATTTCTGACTGATCCTTTTTTATGTTGTTGATGTTCTCACTAAGTTCCTTGAGCATCCTTATAGCCAATGTTTTGAATTCTGCATCTGATTGATTGATCTCCATTTAGTTTAGTTTTTTTATTTGGGACATTTTTTTTGTTTCTTCATTTTGGCTGCTTTCCTGTGCTTGTTTCTATGTATTAGGTAGAGTTGCTATGTCTCCTAGGCTTCGTAGGATGACCTATTGTTGTAGATGTCCTGTAGGATGCAGTGGCATAGCTTCCTTGGTCACCCCAGCTGGACCCTTGAGGTGCACCCCTTGTGTGGACTGTACACCCTTTTGTTGTAATTGAGTCCTGATTGCTGTTGCCATGTCAATGGGAGGGATTTACTCAGGTTGATCAGCTGCAAGGACTGGCTCTGACCACTGACCACTGACCTCTGACTGCCTTGGAGGATCAGCTGTGCAGGGACCCTACCACACAGAGCAAGACTTACATCAGCAGGGCCCTGGTACCCACTGAGTCCATTCATTGAGTGTGTCACTTGTGGAGGTGGTGGGTGGTGGTACTTCAATGTGGTCTGAAACTGTCCACTGGGTGTGCTGACCCTGGGGCAAGGTCAGCCACTGCCTGTGTTCTACCCAGGGCCACCAGGCATAGCTATAAAGTGATCTGCTGATGGCTGCTTCTTGTGCTGGGCTTGGAGGTGCCCAGGCAAAGTCAAGTTGTGAACCAAGGCTGGCTGCTTATAGTGCCAGGCCTGGGGCCACTTAACAAGAAGTATGGGGCTGGCTGAGGCCAGGTGCTGCTTATTTGAGAGATTTTTGGAAAATCTGAAGCAGGAGCCAAGACCGGCCAATTTTATGGTAAAGCCATTGGAAACAGCTTGGGTGGGCCCAAAAGTTGGGTGGAGCAGAGCCTTAGCGAATTGCCAGAGGGGGGAAAATAGTGTGAGCCAGGTTGCTGGAGTCCCAGATGTGGCAATTTTCTGCCACCCCTGGGACAGGCTCACCAAAGGAACAATGGTCTCTGACCTCAAATCTGTCCAGGAGATTAGCTGCCCCTCCAGCTCTCACCCTGATGCCTAACAACTCAGTTCTTCCCTGTATGTCTCTGTTGCCTTTCAAGCTGCCTCCCCACAATGGGGCCTGGAGGGTGCAGGGTCTTAGGAAGTCCATGCGTGGGCCTTTAAGAGGAGTTGCCTGGGGCTCCAGCTGCCTCAGCCTCCCCCAGCCTCAGTTCCCAGTGGTTTTTACAGCCAGAAGTGTGGGACTGGGGTGTCCGCACCTTCACCCTTCAACCAGTCTCCGTGTGGCTTCTTCTTTAATGTCCTAGTTGCAGGACTTCCATTCAGCTGGATGTCAGGTAGTTCTGAAGGATGTTTGTGCTGTAGTTCAGTTGTAATTTTGATGTGGTTGTGGGAGGATGTGATACCGCGTTTACCTACCCCGCCATCTTGACCAGAAATCATGCACTGCATGTATTTTCAATCTTCATAAAAGTAACAGTTCCTTGGGAATGCTTACTGCATTCATGACTTTTGTAAACATTCCGGTCATCTTTGCTCTTGTGCTTCCTGTTCATTTACCCAGCATATTTTCCTAGAAATATTTTTTCTCACACATAGTAATGAATAGCAGAATGTGAGTAGATGAAACTGAATTTTGCCAACCTATTTTGCTTATTGTAGAGAAGTGGTTTTACAGTTCTTGTTATAATTCTTAGTCCTCAATATGCATATGAATGCCAGGAGAGTTCTTTAAATGACAAATGAGGTGTTTTGTTTTTTTTTGCTTTGTATATTTTTGTAAGATGATCATTTATTTGCATGCAAAAGTTATCATTTGGCTTCTAGAATTTTTCTCTAAATATTACCAATGGGTCAAATGAAAGAAAAATTGTCTTACTTGGATTTCTTTCTTTTTCAATAAATTGTGGTTGCAGACAGTATCAGCCTAGTGTGCCACCTCACGGTGAAACAGCACCCATTCCAGTTCCCACTCAGATAAGGAACTATCAGCGCATAGAGCAGAATCTCACGTCTACTGCCAGCTCTGGCACAGCCCTACATGGGTCTCCAAGGTAAGCCAGTGCTTTTTTCCTTTCTAACGTCTTTCAAAAAAAATAATAATTGGGGGTTCCAGTCAAGATGGTGGTGTAGATAAATGTGGTACTTGGGACCTTATCAAATTACCACTAAACCACAGAACAACCATCATTCAGAACCGCCTAAAATCTATCTGAACAGAACTTCTATAACAGGATAGAAAGAAGAAACCACATTGAGACTGGCAGGAGGGGCAGAGACACGGAATGTCTGATCCCACACTATGTGTAGCAGACAAACATCAGGAGGGATATCTTGAATGTGGCGGTCCTCTTGAGGAGCGAGGTGTCCCAGCCCCCACACCAGGTCCCATAGCCCAGGGTTCTGATGCCAAGAAGAGAAGTCCCCATAACTTCTGGCTGTAAAAACCAGTGGAGTTTTTGGATGAATGGGACAGAGGGTGGTTGGAGTCTCAGGTGTTCTTGTTAAAGGGCCCACATACAGACTTACTCATACTTATTTGCTCTAAGCTCTAGCACTTGGGCAGAAGCTGGAAAGGTACCAGGGGCATAGGGGAGGAACTGAGTTGACTGACATCAGGGTGAGAGATGGAGGGGCAGCTTTCTCCCAGACAGAAGTACTGGCAAAGGCCACTGTTTGTTTTCTGAGCACACCCCCTGCAGGCAGGTGGGCGCTATATCTGAGTCTCCATCAACCTGGCTCTCACTGTTTGCCCTGCCTTGGTGATTCCCTGTGACCTCACCCTACCTAACTGGTGGGCACACCCAAGCCATTTCCTGTGGCTTTTCCATAGAAATGGCCTCTCTTGCCTCATGCTGCAGACTTTCCTAAAATCTCTCAAATAAGCAGCATCTGGCCTTTGAGTACCCCGTACTTCTTGCTGTGTGGCCCTAGGCCTGGCATTTGTTGCAGCTTAGCCTCTCGTGGGTGCCTCCAAGCTCTGCATATGTAGCAGCCATCTGCAGATCACTCTGTAACTCATGCTGTGCAGCCCCAGGCGGGCCACAGGCAATGGCTGACCTTGTACCTTCCAGGAAACCCCAGAGCCAGTGCACCCAGTGGACAGCTTCAGACCATGGTGGATTACAACCCTAACACCTCCACGAGTGACACACTCAAGGGTGAACTAGGCAAGCACCAAAGCAAAGATTACTCTGCCCAGCAAAGCTGACATTTACAACCAAAGGACAGAAAATGAGCTTCCCAGACAAGAAAAAGCTAAAGGAGTTCATCACCACCAAGCCAGTATTACAGTGAAATGTTAAAGTCTTTTTGAATAAGAAGGGGGAGAGTGAGGAGGACGTGGGGGAGGAGGAGGGAAAGGAATGAATAATAAACAGCCATAAAAAAATCCCCAATGAAACCTTACCATTTGCAACAGCATGGATGGACCTAGAGAATATTAGGCTAAGTGAAATAAGTCATTCAGAGAAAGACAGATACCATATGATTTCACTTATATATGGACTCTAAAGAACAATATAAAGGAACAAACAAAACAGAAGTAGGCTCATAGATACATGATTGGCTGAGGAGAGTTGTGGGGCTGGGTAAAAAAGGTAAAGGGATTGAGAAGTACAGAGTCGTAGTTACAAAATAGTGCTGGGGATATAAAGTACAGTGTGGGAAATACAGCCAATAATAGTGTAATAACTATGTGTGGTGTCACTTGGGTACTGCAAATGTCAGGGGGAACACTGTAAAGTATATGATTGTTTAACCACTATGCTGTACACCTGAGACTAATGCAAAATAATACTGAATGTAAACTGTAATTGAAAAACTTTTTTTTTTTCATCCTCACCCGAGAACATTTCTCCATTTTGGTTCAGATAGAGAGGGATAGGGAGAGAGAGAGAGAGAGAGAGAGAGAGAGAGAGAGAGAGAGAAACATCGATGTGAAAGGGAAATATCGAGTGGATGCCTCTCGCATGACCCCAACCAGGGCTGGGGACAAACCGCAACTGAGGCATGTGCCCTTGACCAGAATTGACTCATTGGTCCGCGGGCTGACGCTCCAACCGTTGAGCAAAACCAGCCAGGGCTGAAAAACATTTTTAATTAAAAATTTTAATTAAAAAAATTTTTTTTGTTGAAAGATCTGTTATTTTTCATAGCCAACTTTGTCCCTTATGTTATGTGTACAGGTTGGGGCGAAAATAGGTTTACAGTTGTTTATATGGGCAATAATTAATAAATAATAATATAAGAATAAGCTCTGTTTCATTTGTAAACCTACTTATCCCCCCCCCCCCCCCGTATAATGGACGTGTACAAAATGGTCCAAAAAATTGAATAGATAATTTTTTGTAATGGATCTATTTAGATAATATTTAAGTGTGGCTGGATAACATGCTATGTATATATTTTTTTCGTAAATATAATTATTTTTAAGAATTGAGGAAAATGTTAAAAAATGGAATCCCACCCATAGAAGTAGATTATTTATATATTATTTATTTATTTTACATCCTGAAACCTCACTAAGGTAATAAAGGAATGACAATGGTGTAAGTCCACAATGAAAAGTAAAATAAGAGTCAGTATTCAGTGGGTGAGGGATTACAGTAAACTTATGGGAAACAGAATGGAAGACGGATACCTGCTGTAGCAGGGCAGGTGTAGGTGTCCATGCATCAGAGATTCTGCTAGTGGGAGCAGCTGTGCCCTTAGTGCCCTTTGGACTTAAATCTCAACTCAGAGTGGAGAGGTGAACGCGAGGCCTGTGGCTAAATCAGCAAGAATGCAAAGAAAATCATTAAAAAAAATCAATACCCTTAGAGAAAGATTAGAGAATGCATCCATAAATAGGAATGAAATGCTATTGAAAAAAATAAAAATAAAGACCTCTTGCACATTATAAAATATAGTAACTAAAATAAAGGTTGGAAGAAAAGGTATCTAAAATAGATGAATCAAATAAAAATGGAAAATATAAATGAAAAAAATATTCTTTGAGGATTAATTAATGTAGGCATTCTAGAAAGAACAAGAAAAATCATGAGGAGGAAAATTTCTAGGAAACAATAAAATATATTTTTTTTCTAGAATTGGAGGATACAAGATTTTAGATTAAAAGGGCCACCAAATAGCCCGGCCAGTGGGGCTCAGTGGTTGAACATGGACCTATGCACCAAGAGGTTACCGGTTCAGTTTCAAGTCAGGGCTCATGCCCAGGTTGTGGACCAGATGCCCAGTGGGGGGCATGCAGGAGGTGGCCAGTCGATGTTCTCTCTCATCAATGTTTCTGTCTCTCTTTTCCTCTCCCTTCCTCTCTCTCTCTCTCAAATCAATAAAGAAAAAAATTTTTAACAGGGTCACCAAATAAATAGCTCAATGAATGGAAATAATCCTCACCATCTGGTAGGATTAAATTGAGAAAAGTTCTACGAAGGGCATTTGGCAGTACCTATGAAAATCATTAATATGTATATCATTTAACCCAGCACTTCAACTTCAGAAAACTTATTCTACAGATACTTAGTCCTTGCCTGTGTATGCAATTGCGTATGTATGGAGTTGTTATAATAGCAAAGGATGAGAAATAAGACAAATGCCCACCAGGAAGGGACTGATTTATTATAGTTTATCTCTGACAATGGAATGAACACCTTCCAAAAAAAGAGTCATGTAGCTCTCTCTAAACTGAGGTAGAAAAAAATTTTAAAGTTTATTATAAAATGAAAAAACAGTGATTAACAGTGTAGCATTGGTTCTCCAATTGTGGTCTCTGGTTCCCTTTTTATAGGGACCATGAGGCCAGAACAGTTTTTATAATAATAATAGGATATTGTTTCCTTTTTCACTGCTTTGGTACATGCACTGTGAGTGCAAAGCAATGATAGAAAAACTGCTGGTGCCTTAAAATGCATCAAGGAAGTGGCACCCAACTGTACTGTTAGTCTCTGTGCAATTTCTCATTACACACTTGAAGTAACAAGGAATGTCTTTAATGAAGCAGTAAAAATTACATTTCTTTGAAAATCTTAACCTTGAATGGAATGTAGGCATGAAGCACTTTTGCTGCACATTGGAGTAGTTGTCTTAAGGAAAAGCACTTACATGAAAGTTTTAGTTACAAGCTGAACTAGCCACTTTTTTCATGGAATACCATTTTTGCTTGAAAGAAAAGACTGTAATTATGAGTATTTGGCAGCCATTTTGTCAAAAGTGAACTAAGTCTGTCATTTCATAGAAAACCAGTGACATAAAATTTGAGCTTCTGAGCAAAAGTTAGGATTTTTGAAAACTTGTATTCACCATTGTGAACTTGACAGCTTCTGATACATCTTGACAGCCATTTCTGTTAGGATTGATGGTAGTGTTTTGATAAGAATGTGACTTTTTGATGTTGTATAATGTATTAACATTTGGAATATCTGTATAAGTCAGTCAGCTAGTATTTTCCAAGTGACTAAATATTTAAAAAAAATCACGCAGAGATGAAAGATCCATTCCAAGGATAAAAACTCTGCAAACGAATGGAATTAAATGTAATAGAGTACATAATTTCACTGACATGGTTTTGGATTCCACATTGTGACTAGTCTTTTAGAAATGATGACTTGCTGAGTTTTTGGACAGTATCAAAGAAAGTTTTCTGAAAAGGCTACCAAGATATTTCTCCCCTTTCCAGTTACATATCTGTGTAAATCTGAGTTTCCTTCATATTCTGTACCCAAAGTAACATGTTATATAGATTGTATGTAGAAATAGTTATGAGAATCCATCTTTCTTTTCTTTTTAAAAAGCTTATCTTTATTGTTAAATGTATTACAGACGTTCCTCCTTTTTCCCCTATTGACCTGCTCCTCACCCCTCCCACCCCCCTCCTGCCTTCCCCACACTATTGTCTGTGTCCATTGGTTTGCATATATGCATAGAAGTTCTTTGGTTTATCTCTTCCTGACGCCCTTCCCCCTTCCCTTTGAGGTTTGTCAGTCAAACAAACAATTTGTAATTCTTAATTTCTTCATCTTTTTCACCCATCCCCATGGGCCCCTCCCATTTGGCAAGCAACAAAAAGTTCTCTGTATCTATGAGTCTGTTTCTGTTCTGCTTGTTCATTTTGTTTGTAGATTCAATTGTTGATAGATATGTATTCATTGCCATTTTATTGTTCATATTTTTCTTGTTGTTCTCCTTCAAGACCCTTCAGCATTTCATATGATACTTGTTTGGTGGTGATGAACTCCTTTAGCTTTTTCTTGTCTGGGAAACTCTTTATTTGTCTATTGATTCTAAATGATAGCTTTGTAGGATAGAGTAATCTTGGTTGTAGGTCATTGCTTTACATCACTTTGAATATCTGTTGCCACTCCCTTCTGGCCTGCAAAGTTTCTTTTGAGAAATCAGCTGACAATCTTAATGGTAGCTCCCTTGTAGGTAACTAACTGTTTTTCTCTTGCTGCTTTTAAGATTTGCTGTCTTTAACCTTTTACATTTTGATGATGATGTGTCTTGTTGTGGGCCTTTTGGGGTTCATCTTATTTGGACTCTCTGTGCTTCCTGGACTTGTATGTCTGTTTTCTTCACCAAGTTAGGGAAGTTTTCTGTCATTATGTTTTCAAATAGGTTTTCAATTTCTTGCTGTCTCTCTTCTTCTGGCACCCCGTGATGTGAATGTTGGCACACCTGAAGTTGTCCCAGAGGCTTCTTACACTATACTCATTTTATTTCTTAGTGCATCCTTCATCTCTGACTGGTCCTTTAATGTCAATGTTAAATGTATTTTTTATGTTCTTGAGGCCCTCACTAAGTTCGTTGAGCATCCTTATAACCAGTGTTTTGAACTCTGCATCTATTAGATTGCTTATCTCCATTTTGTTTAGTTCTTTTCCTGGATTTTTGTTCTGTTCTTTCATTTGGGACATGTTTCTTTGTCTCCTCATTTTGGCTGCTTCTGTAATTATTTCTATGTATTAGGTAGAATTGCTGTGTCTCCTAAGCTTCCTAGGGTGGCCTGTTGTAGGAGTCCTGTAGGATCCAGTGGCACAGCCTCCCTGATCACCCTAGCTGGGCCCTCGAGGTACAGCCTTTGTGTGGACTGTACACCCTTCTGTTGTAATTGAGTCTTGATTGCTGTTGGCATGTCAATGGGAGGGATTTACTCAGGCTCATCAGCTGCAAAGACTGGCTGTGCCCACTGACCACTGACCTCTACTTTGGAGGACCAGCTGTGCTGGGGCCCACCACACAGAGCAAGACTTACTTCAGCAGGGCTCTGGTACCCACTGAGTCCACTCTTTGAGTGTGTTGCTTGTGGAGGTGGTTGGGTGGTGGTACTTTGATGTGGTCTGAAGCTGTCCACTGGGTGTGCTGGCTCTGGGGCAAGGTCAGCCACTGCCTGTGGTTTACCTGGGGCAACCAGGCATAAGCTACAAAGTGATCTGCCTATGGCTGCTTCTTATGCTGGGCTTGGATGGAGGTGCCCAGGAAAGCCAAGCTGTGAACCAAGGCTGGATACTTCTAGCACCAGGCCTGGGGCCACTTAGCAAGAAGTTATGGGGCTCACTGAGACCAGGTGCTGCTTTTATTGAGAGAATTTAGGAAAATCTGAACTAGGAGCCAAGATAGGACATTCCTATGGTAAAGCCACTGGAAACAGCTTGGATGGGCCTAAAAGTTTGGTGGGGCAGGGGCTCAGGGAATCACCAGGGCAGGGCAAACAGTGTAAGCCAGGTTGCTGGAGTCTCAGATAGGTGCCTGTCTGCCGGCCCCAGGGTAAAGGGATCACCAAAGGAACGACGGCCTCCACCAGCACGTCTGTCCTGGAGAAAGCTGCCCAACAGCTCTCGCCCCAATGCCAAACAACTCAGTTCTTCCCCATGTGTCTCTGGTGTCTTTCAAGCTGCCTCTCGACTCTGGAGCCTAGAGGGAGTGAGTCCGAGTAAGTCTGTGTGCGGGCCCTTTAAAAGGAACTGCCTAGGACTCCATGAGCCTCAGCCTCCTTCAGCCTCAGTTCCTGCTGGTTTAATAGCCAGAGTGATGGGGATTCTCTTCCTGGGATTGGAACCCTGGGTTGGGGGCCTGGTGTGGGATGGGGACCCCTCACTCCTCATGGAGTACCTTCACAGCCAAGGTGTCCTGAATTTTATCTGCTACACGTGGGTGTGGGACCAGTCCTGCAGCCATCGTCCGTCCTACTGGTCTCCATGTGGCTTCTTTAATTTTATAGTTGTAGGACTTCCATTCAGCTCAATGTCAGGCAGTTCTGAAGATGGTTGTTCTGTAGTTGTAATTTTGATGTGGTTGTGGGAGGAGGCGAGTACTACTGCGTTTACCTACGCTGCTGTCTTGACCAGAAGTTGAATTCATCTTTCATCTGTTCAACCAGACATTAGAGATTCGTAAAAATGTAAAATAACGTTATGTTTCTCACCAATTTGTTTCAGAAGATACAATTATTTTTCATAATTATGTTACCTGTGATAAGTTCATTTTTTTGTTTTTCATTTTTTTCTTTTTCTTTTTATCCTAGTCCGAGGATATTTTTCCATTTTTTTGTACAGATAGAATGAGAGGGAGAGAGAGGAAGGGAGAGAGAGACAGAAACATCGACGTGAAGGGACACATCGAGTGGCTGCCACCCGCACGACCAACCAGGGCCGGGGACAAACTGCAACCAAGGTACATGCCCTTAGCGAGAACCGAACCTGGATCTCTCCGGACTGCAGGATGACGCTCTAACCGCTGAGCCAAACCGGCCAGGGCTCATTTTTTTTTCTATTTATCTTTAGATAGAGTCGGAGAGAGAGAAAGGGTGGGAGAGAGACACATATACTGGTTGCCTCACGCACGACCCCAACCAGGGCCAGGGACGAACCGCAATCGAGGCCCTTGGCCAGAATTGAACCTGCAACTCATTGGTCCACGGGCCGACGCTCTAACACTGAGCAAGTTTGGGCAGGGCTGATAAGTTGTTTTTTTAAAAAAATTTTTTTTAATGTAGTTCTTTTTATTTTATTTTTTTCTTTAATTGATTTTAGAGAGAGAGGAAGTGAGAGGGAGAGAGGACGTGAGAGGAAGAGAGAGATGGAAACATTGATGAGATAAAATATCAATTGGCCACCTCCTGCATGCCCCCAATGGGGATCTGGCCCACAACCTGGGCATGTGCCTTGACCAGGAATCAAACTGGTGACCTCTTGGTGCATGGGTCAATGCTCAACCACTGAGCCATACCGGCCGGACAGATAAGTTTATTTTTATTTATTTATTAATCCTCATCCGAGGATAGTTTTACATTCATCTTCAGATGGAGCTGGAGGGAGAGAGGGAGGGAGGGAGGGAGAGAGAGAGAGAGAGAGTCATCGATGTGAGGGAGACACATCGATTGGCTGCCACCCACACAACCCCTAACAGGGCCAGGGCTGAACTGCAACTGAGGTATATGCTATTGGCCAGAATCGAACCCAGGACTCTTTGGTCTATGGGCAGTGCTCCACCGCTGAGCCATACTGGCCAGGGTGATAAGTTTATTTTTAATTAATATCAATTTCTCAGTTTTAACTTTTAATACAGTAAATATCAATAAATACAAGTTGCATGAACAAACACTCCCTGGGATCTTCAGTAATTTTAAGAGTATAATGGGGACCTAAGACCCTTCCCCCCAAATTGAAAGTGGTTGGTATATATATCATATTATCTTATTTAAAGCAAAACAAATGTATGATTATACAGTGGGCCTTTGAATAACACAGGTATTAGGGGCACCAACGCCCTGCCCAGTAGAAAATTTGACTTTTCTAAAACTTAACTACTAATAGCCTACTGTTGTCCAGAAGCCTTACCAATAACATGAATAGTCTATTAACACATATTTTGTATGTTGTATGTATTCTGTATTCTTACAATAAAGTAAGCTAGAGAGAGGATATTGTTAAGAAAATTATGAGAGAGAAAGTGCATTTCCAGTATTTATTGAAGAAAGTGCATATAAGTGGACCCGTGCAGCTCAGACCTGTGTTGCTCAAGGCACAGCAGTTGTTGCAGTGTTTGGTTTGCCTGTATGTGGTGGGAACTCTGGCAGGATGCTAGAGACCAACGCAGGGGGTCCTTCTGAGTGAGATGGAGGAAGTGCTGAGATCAGGCAGACTGGATACAAGGGTCACTACACAGTCTTATACATGTTATATTCGTTCATGTGACTGTGTTACACATTTTTTAAAAATCGACTCCATGGCACATTTCTAGGAAGTTTTAGAAAAAAAAGACAAGAGAGTCACTTTATTTCTCTTCTCAGGTCTGCAGTGGTACGAAGGTCTAACACCAGCCCTATGGGCTTTCTCCGGGTGGGGACCTGCTCCCCAGCACCAGCAGACACAGTACAAACAGTCGGACGAAGACTCTCTACTGGGTCTTCCAGGCCTTATTCACCTTCCCCTTTGGGTAAGAGTTTAAAGCAGTTGTTGTCAGCCTGGCTTCACCATGGCAAATCTGACATGACACTCTCCTCAGGAATATTGGCTCAGCCGGCACGGAGTCTCAGCTGACTGAGAACCGTGTCCCACCCTGCTAAGCACACCTACTCCCTACTCCTTGAGAATCTCTAGTAATCTGTTAGGACGTCTGTTGGAAATATTATCATACAAATGGATCTTATGGATAAAAAATATCCCCATTGGGTTTAGGCTCTAAACACAAAGTCAGAAACCCTAGGTCAAAGTACATAAAATGCCTACCCTACTTAGCACTCAGATTTTTGTGGTTTAAAAGACAATAGTGTATGTAACAGCACTGTGTTGTGTCCCTCAGAGGTCTCAGCTCTGGGAGGGATATGGTGGCAGCTTTATTACAATCTTCCCACCTCTCCTGGAAACCACAGACAGCGACCAGGAATATGCTAGAGAAAAGCAGAAGCCGACAGTGAGACAACAGCAACAACAAAAACCCAACCAAACATAAGAACAAACCTCAAAGCACAGTTTTAGTGAAAGTAGGAGACAAAATGCTTCAACTTCAGAATATATGTAAGAGAGGCCAGAGCAATAGGATTGGAGAATTTGTGAGAAAAAGCATCAGTGTCACAGGGAAGAAAAAGGTAGTACAGAGAGGGTCCAGTGATGGAAGCTCTCAAAATTGCAAAAAAAATAATTAAAAAATAATAATATATGTATACGTGTAGAAATGAGAGGGCTGCCACCTGGCCAGATCTGCTGGAGTATGACTCAGAGGGAACGGGAAGAGATCTTGGAAGAGGCTAAACGAGAAGGATAGTGCCCAGAAGCCCTGATTTCAAAACAAAAAAACCACAATGATAATTTTGTTTTCCCCTCACTTGAGGATATTTTTCCATTTAGGCAGGGAGAGAGAGAAACATCGAGTAGTTGCCTCCCACATGACCCCGACCAGGGCTGGGGATTGAACTACAATCGAGGTACATGCCCTTGACTGGAACCGAATCTGTGACTCTGGTTCACAGGCCGATGCTCCACTGCTGAGTTAAACCGGCCAGGACGATAATGTTTTTTTTAAAAAAATTTATATCACCACCTCACCTGTTGAAATGGTTTTTGCAGCCATTTTTAGCTGAAAAGTTTTTTCAAACAAAATCTTGGCCGTCCTTCACCCCCTTAACAGCTCCTGAGGCACTCCAAGGTCTCCCGAGACAAGTTCTAAAATGTATCCTTGAACTCAAGGAAAAGGCTCTTCTCAGGATCTCATCTTTGGCTACCTACCTAACTACTTGGTCAGTGCCCCGTCCTTTCTTTAGACATGTGTCTCCTGTCTACTGAAACTCCCTGAAGTCTTCCCCAACTCTCCTTTTTATTGGTTTGAGTTCTTAGAGGTATGTGAAAGAAGGTGGATGCAGAGATGTGCAAGAGAGATTGGGGAAACACCCGTGATGGATGAAGGGGAGGGAGCAGGAATGGACAGGGAGCCCTTCAGACTGCCATGCAGATGTGACCCCTGTGAGGAGGAGAGGAAGGAGGTGTCCTGACCATAGCGACTTCAAAGATTTTAGCCAGCCAGGCTGAAGGAGTGTCCCCCAGCACTGTGTTGTTCCTATTTCCTGACCTGCTTGAATAGGCCTGAATTAATGCCTTGACCGTCACTATGTAGGCAGTGGCTGGGGAGCCCTGGGGATCATGCCTCAGCTGGAACATGGTGGATTCAGAGGGATTGCAGCCGGGTTGTCAGTCAGTTCCATAAGCCCCAAACACTATGTACAAACTCTTTGTACTTAGTGACATAACTGTTAACAGGTGTTGATTTGTTTACGTGGCCTTTTTTCCTACTGATCTTGTTTTAAGATTATAGGTACTTTTGATCCTAGGGCACCCAGCACTCAGCACAGTGATTGCGTATAAGTGTTAGCTGGGCTAAATATTTGCTGATTAAATCTGTAGGCTGTAATGCACTGTGCAGTTTGTCATGTGTTGCCTGTCCCATCCTTCCCTGGTGTTGAATCATTTCTCTTTCCTGTCCCCATTCCCTCCTCAGTCGGTGCCATTCCCGAGCAGTGTAGTCAGTGCTGCTGTGGATTTCCTCAGGGCCATGAGTCCAGGAGGAGAAACTCATCGGGTAGGAGATGCATTTGGTATATTAATAATTTAATCCTGTTATATGTTGATTTGAGTTACGTTTCGTTTTTCTAGTCTTGTCAAAAGAACAGAATTGGTATGAAAATTTTTTTCTGCTGTCCTGTGTTTTAGAATCTTGTTCATTGTGTTTTAGCAATCAGCCAGTTGAATTTCTCTTTTTGGGTATATGATTCTTTTATGAAAATAAGTCTTAGGAATTAAGTAAGTACCTAGCTAAATTTCAGTCATTGTCACAAAGATAATGAAAATCAACCTAGGAAATGAAATTTTGTTACCTTGATGAATATTATTCTTGATAAGAAATACCAGTTATCATCAAATAAAAAAGAAATATAGATGTTTATTTTCTTTATTATGTACCATGTATGCCTCCAAAGACATGTATAAATCATATTTTTTAAAGTTAAATCTTATTGTATGTGCATTTGAAGAGTTGGCCAGTTAAAGGAATTTTGTGTTTCTTAGGAAAGCATAAAACTTAGCTTTCTCTGGATCATAACACTTTGCCACTAATTTTATTTATTTTGTGTGTATGTATTGTGTATGTATATACCCATATATACACGTGCCTCTGTGTGTGTTTGGCAGAACCCAGTTCTGAACTATTAAATATCAAATTTAGGATGAGATTAAGCCAGGAGTGATCAGTAGCAAAATCTCCTATTGGTGTCCAATTCCGGAAAGATGATAGTTAGAGATCACTAAGAAGATTTGTATGTTCTTAATTTTATCGGGGGTAGTTTGGCTTGAAGAAGTGCCAAAGAGTTTGTAAGTGGAGCTCAAGGCTTAGTGGACCTTAAGTTGTCAACAACAAGGTTTGTGTGGTGAGTTCCCTTACTGTTGCCAGCTGCTCAGCATATCAAGACTATCTCCAAAGCTCTTGATATGGAAACCCCTTAGAGTATCTTCTTTGAAGAGAATATGGATATTCGATGTTTTAAATGAATTTCATTAGTGAAATTGATAATACAAACAATCCATAAGCTTATTTTTTTTTTTTAAGATTTGTTACTGATTTTTAAAGAGAGAGGAAGGGAGAGGGAGAGAGAAACATTGATGTAAGAGCGGTTCATTGATTGGCTGCCTCCTGCACACCCCCTACTGGGATCAAACCTGCAACCTGGGCTTGTGCCCAGACTGGGAATCAAACTGGCAACCTTTCGGGGTTCGGAATGACATCCAACCAACTGACCCACACTGACTAGGGTGATAAGCTATTATTTTTAAACAAATAAAATCTAGGAAAAGTGTATTATCTAATTTTCTTACATAATGTGTGTGTGTTTGTGCATGAGTGTGTGTGTGTGTGGTGTTATTCTGGGTTATTTTGAAAAGTTTACTCTGGATTCGATGTGAGAAAAGGGAATAATCACGTTGCTAAATCCAAGTATGTATTTATATAAAATCATCTTCTTTATTATAGGTTTTTGTTGTTTTTATTAACTTTAACCGTTTACTGCATAGTTCTCTTTGGTCCTAACTAGACCTTGCATGAATCTGAGTTATTTGCTAGCTGCTGATAAAACAGCCAATATATGCATTATCAACTTCTATCTCCTGAGAATACCAGTGACAGTGTTCTTGTCACTGTTTGGTAAAGGATAGCAAAAAATAGTCTCCTGCCAAGTAAACAGTTTGAGAATATCTCATGAAAAGTAAGATATTCATTGAAATTCTCATTTTAAGAATTGTCTTGATGCTTATGTATTTGCCATTTATGTCTTCCCATTGGATTAACAATGCATCCATTTCTTGGTAGGCTCTTCAGTGCCTCAGGCTCAGTCACCACAGTCTTTCTTACTGGGAGCCAGACTGCAGAGTGCCCCCAGCCTCACGGACATCTACCAGCACAAGCAGAAGCTCCGAAAGCAGCACTCTGACCCCGTGTGCCCATCCCACACTGGGGCTGGGTGCAGCCACTCTCCTCAGCCCAGTCGGCCTGGCAGCCTGGGGACTTCTCCCCCCAAACACATGGGGTCCTCTCCTCGGAGTTCTGACTGGTTCTTTAAAACCCCCTTACCAACAATCATTGGCTCTCCTACTAAGGTGTGTTCACTGAACCCTTGTAGGCATTATGACTCTGTTCAATTAACATTTGTGAAGTGGGGCACAAGCTGCCAGATGGAGAACCAAGGTTCAACAACAGACCACAAGAGAGATTGAAGTAGAGGTCTTTTACTCACAGGTCCTGAAAGAAATATGCTGCACACCTAGGGGCGGGGCACACCGGGATGTCCAGACAGGGTGCAGACATGGAGAGACAGGATCTGGGCACATGTCTTTATCAGGGTTTGTGGGTAGAGTGTTTTGGGGTTCCTGGGCTATGGCTAGATTGGTCAATTCAAAACGAAAGAGCAGGGTTCTGGTAAGCTCCATGGGGTCTTATCTAAGGGAGGATCCTGGAAGGTGGAATCACATCGGGAGCTTACATTTGCTTGTGACGCTGCGGGCTGCTGTCTGGGGTGTCCCTTGCAAGAGGGGCAAGTGTCAGTTTAAGGTCCCTGCAGCCCACTTGGCCAAACAGAATGGAAGCGGAGGCAGCAATACCAAGGAGTAGCTTAGCTGAACTCTCTATAGTAGGTCATGAACTAGTATAGTAGGTACTTTATGGAAAGGACTTATGCTGAGAATAGCTATGATTTAATGAGCACTTGCTATGTGCCAGGCACAGTGTAGGTCTTTTACTTGCTGAATGCTTTATGTACATTATTCCACTGAATAGTCCATGGTTATAGAGCCTGTAAGTGGAAGAGCCAGTATTTGAATCCAGGTCTGATAGACTCCAGAGTCTGCTCCTGACTCCTGGGCCATGCATCCTGACAGTACGGAATGCTTTAGACATCGTAATAACTAGCTTACATTTGTTTCTTTAGACCACGGCTCCTTTCAAAATCCCTAAAACACAAGCGTCTTCCAACCTGTTAGCCTTGGTTCCTCGTCATGGGCCTTCTGAAGGGCAATCTAAAGATGGGAATGACCCACGAGAATGCTCTCGTTGTCTCTTAGTCCAAGGAAGTGAGAGGCAGACGTCTGAGCAGCAAAACAAGGCAATGTTTGGCAGGTAAACGATACCATCTCCTCCCAGCTTTAAACATGAAAACTAATAGTACATATGTTTCTATTATAAAAGCAACCAGATCAAATTAGTATCCGGATATGAACTGTATACGTTTAGAATCTCTGAAAACTGTAGATGCTTCCTGTAACTGTAAATACAGAGCTCTTGCTGAATTTCCTGCATATTGTATTTCTGCCTTTTGTTTATTTTTGTTAATGAAGTTTGTCTCTACCTTGAATTGTTTGGGATCTATTTTTTGTCTCCTTGTTCTCTGATTTCCCGTTAACCCTTTTATGGCTTGGCTTAAAGCCTTATTATTTAAATGTCTGGTTTTTTTTAAAGTATACTTTTCCATTGTTAACATCACTCTTCTTTTTAGATCTGTCAGTACTGGGAAATTATCCGATCAGCAAGTAAAGACACCTTTAGGTGTGCATCAGGGCAGCACAGATAGTTTAAATACAGAACGGCCAATGGATATAGGTAAGAAAAATCTGTTTTTTTGGGGGGGCAGGTAATTTGTTAGCATGTGCATGAATTCCTATTGCTGCTATAACAAGTTACCACAAGATTGGTGGCTTAAAACAACATAAATGTACTGTCTTACAGTTCTGGAGGTCAGAAGTCTGTAATAGGTCTCACTGGGCTAAAATCGAGGTGTGAGCAGGGCTGCATTCCTTCTGCATTCTCTAGGGGAGAGTGCATTTCTTTGCCTTTTCCAGCTTCTAGAGACTGCTCTCATCCTTGGTTCATGGCCCCCTTCCATCTTGAAAGTCAACAATGGCCAGTCTAAATTCTGACCTGCCTCCCCATTCAGCATTTAAAGGACCCTTGTGATTACATTGGACCCACTAGATAACCCAGGATTCTCTCTTTATTTTAAGGTCAGTTGATTAGTAATTCTAGCTCCACCTGTAATTTTCTTTTGCCATGTAGTGTAGCCTTTTTAAAGGTCCCGGGGGTAGGACATGGCATCTTTGGCTGGGGCTAGAGGTGATTATTCTACTTATCTGCTTCTGTTGATTGAACATGAGCTTACTGACGCAGATTTCTTCATCCGGTCCCTGTCATTTCATCTCAGTTGCTCATCAAGACAGGCTTGTTTTGTATCTTGATGATTAACAACAGCCTATCAGTTAGAAGGAGTTCTGACAAAGGTCATTTTTTATCAGTAGGATAATACTGGCTAAATTTAGGCTAAACATACATATATTCTCGAGCATTTCTTATACAGCAAGTAGATAAAAAATAGGTCCCTGAGATCCCTGGCCCTTTGGTGATTGTTCCAGGGACTGTCATGTCTATAGATCCACATATAGATTACTCAGACTGCTTGGCAAAACACTAAAAACAAAGGGAAGATCCCAGACCCTCACCCAGACTTGTTTAATGAAATTTTCTGGCAGTGGATTCTAGGAATCTATATCTTTAATATGCTCCCCACATGATTATTAAGTACACTTAAATTTCAGAATCACTATTATAATCTCTTTATTCTTGTTTTCTCTGTAATTTTTTAAAGTCATAATTGTTTGTTAAGATCTTTACACAGGAGTAGGAAAATGGGTAAACATACAGTAGTGGCTCAATTCCCCAGTCTCTTTAGTATCCCAGAGTTTTACTATTTACATGCCTTTATGCATGCCAGATATGTAGAGCTAGTAGAGGAATTTGAGGAAGCCACAAAGAATTTCTGAGTATTGGTCTCCTCTGGGCCAAAGTCTCCTGTGACCTAGGAGCTGTGACACGAGAACTTAAGGGTAGTGGTCCTTGTGACACCGTATACTTTTAAAAATTGACTTCCCCATGCGCATCCAAAGGAAATATCTGGACTAGCAAATGACTGATTGAACATGATCTCTAATCCAAAGGGAACATCATAGGGTTTGCTATTTCACTCCACTTCTTGTGTGGTTCTGAAGGGAAGTTTGGTGTAATTCTTACCCTTGTTTACAGGTGAAGTGTTCTTTTATTTTTTGCTTATTCCAGTGTGTTTTCTTTTTCTCTTTGATTTTCCGCTGTTTGAATAGGATATGCCTAGGTGTAGATTTTTTGGTATTCATCATGCTTGGTGTTCTGAGCTTCCTAGAGCTGTGGTTTGGTTCTGTCATTGTTAATTTTGAAAAATTCTGGGTCATTAGTACTTCCAATATTTCTGTTGTTCCTTTTTCTCTTTCTTCTCCTTCTGATAGTCCCATTGTGTATACATTACTCCTTTGTAGTTGTCCCACAGTTCTTGGATATTCTGTGGTTTTTTTTCTTTAATTCTTCTTTCTCTTTGCTTTTCCGTTTTGGAAGTTTCTCTTGACATATCTTCGAGCTAACTGATTCTCTCCTCTGCCATGACCAGTCAGCTGATGAGCTAATCAAATATATTATTCATCTATGTTTTAGTTACTTTGATTTATAGCATTTCCTTTTTATTCTTTCTTAGAGTTTCCATTTCCCTGCTTATGTTACCCATCTGTTCTTACAGGTTATTTAGTTTTGCCATTAGAGCCCTTTGCATATTAATTGTAGTTATTTTAAATTTCTATTCTAATCATTCCAGTATCTGTGCCATACTGATTCTGGTTCTGATGCTTGCTCTGTCTCTTTCAGCTGCTTTTACCTTTCAGCTTGCCTTTTAATTTTTCTTGAAAGCCAGACATAATACACTAGATAAAAGGAATTGAGTTAAATAGTATGAAGTTTTTTGTTAATGTAGCTAGGAATTATGCTGTTTAGCATTTGCTGTTGCTCTAGGTATCAGAAGCTAAACTCTTCACTGATGACCTTGTTTTTGTCTCCCCATCATCTTTGAGTTTCCCTAGATACCCCTTCTTAAATAACATCTGAACTTTGCCTAACTATATTCTAAGAGTTATGAAAAGCCCCACCTCACAACAGAAGACTCAAATAGGTTGAAAGTGAAGGGATGGAAAAAAATCTTCCAAGCAAACGGAAAGGAAAAAAAAGCTGGGGTAGCAATACTCATATCTGATAAAATAGATTTCCAAATGAAGGCCATAACTAGAGACAAAGAAGGCCACTACATAATATTGAAAAGATCTATCCAACAGGAAGATACAACCTTGATAAACATATGCACCCAATATAGGAGCACCAAAATATATTAATAATCTTCTGGAGGACTTCAAAGGAGAAATTGAAAGCAATACAATCATAGCAGGGGACTTCAACACCCCACTGACATCACTGGATAGATCCTCTAGACAAAAAATTAGCAAGCAAACAGAGACTCTAAATGAAGCACTAGACCAAATGGATTTAATAGATATGTACAGAGAATTACACCCCAAAACTACAGAATTCACATTCTTCTCAAGTGCACATGGGACATTCTGAAAGATAGACCACATGTTAGGACACAAACTAAGTCTCTACAAGTTCAAGAAGATGGAAATCATATCAAGCTACTTCTCAGATCTCAATGTCATGAAACTAGAAATCAATTGCAACAAGAACATGCAAAGACATTTGATCACATGGAAGCTAAATAGCATGTTATTAAATACTGAATGGGTCACCGAGCAGATCAAGGAAGAAATTAAAAACTTCCTGGAAACCAATGAAAATTAACACACAAACACAAAATCTATGGGATGCAGCAAAAGCAGTTCTGAGAGGGAAGTTCATAGCACTACAGGCCTACCTCAAAAAACAAGAAAAATCTCTAATAGACTATCTAACCTCACAACTTAGAGAACTAGAGAGCAAACAAAAAGAAAACCCCAGAGCAAGTAGAAGGAAGGAAATAGTAAAGATCAGAGCAGAAATAAATGATATAGAGTCCAAAAAAAAACAATTCAAAGGATCAATGAAACAAAGAGTTGGTTTTTCGAAAAGATAAACAAGATTGATGAACCCTTAGCTAGACTCACCAAGAAACAGAGAGAGAGAACCCAAATACACAAAATCAGAAATGAAAGAGGAGAAGTAACAACTGACACCACAGAAATACAAAAGATCGTTAACAACAACTATGAACAATTATATGGCAACAAATTCGACAATCTAAGTGAAATGGACAAGTTTCTAGAGACACATAGTCTCCCAAAACTGTACCAGGAAGAGATAGAAAACTTGAACAGACCAATAACAACAGAAGGAATTGAAGATGTAATCAAGATCCTCGCAGCAAACAAAAGCCCTGGCCAGGATGGCTTAACGGGGGAGTTTTACCGAACATTCAAAGAAGAACTAACAAACATTCTCCTCAAACTATTTAAAAAAATTCAAGAAGGAAGACTTCCAAACTCGTTTTATGAAGCCAGCATAATTCTAATTCCCAAACCAGAAAAAGATACTATAAAGAAAGAAAACTACAGGCCAATATCCCTGATGAACATAATGCCAAAATCCTGAACAAAATACTAGCAAATCGGATCCAGCAATACATCAAAAAAATTATTCACCATGACCAAGTGGGATTCATCCCAGGGATGCAAGGCTGGTACAGTATTCGCAAATCAATAAACGTGATACACCACATAAATAAAATGAAGAATAAAAACCACATGATCATATCAATAGATGCCAAAAAAGCTTTAGACAAAATCCAGCATCCATTTCTGATAAAAAACACTCAGCAATGTGGAAAAAGAGGGATCGTATCTTGACATAATAAAGGCTATATATCAAAGACCTACAGCCAACATCACACTCAATGGGCAAAAACTAAAAGCATTTCCCTTAAGAACAGGAACAAGGCAAGGATGCCCACTTTTGCTACTCATATTTAACGTAGTACTGGAAGTCTTAGCCATAGCAATTAGGAAGAAAAAATAAAAGGGATCCAAATTGGAAAGGAGGAAGTGAAACTTTCATTATTCGCAGATGACATGATACTATACATAGAAAACCCCAAAGACTCCATCAAAAATTTACTAGACTTAATAAATGAATTTGGAAAAGTCGCAGGATACAAAATTAACGTCAAGAAATCGATGGCATTCTTATACACCAATGATGAACTCACAGAAAGAGAAACTAAGAAAACAATCCCATTTACCATTGTGGCAAAAAAATTAAGATACCTAGGAATAAACTTAACCAAAGAAATAAAGGACCTATTCTCAGAAAATTACAGGTCATTGAAAAAATAAATAGAGGAAGATTTTAAAAAGTGGAAGCACATACCTTGTTTATGGATTGGAAGAATTAACATCATTAAAATGTCCATACTACCCAAAGCAATCTATAGATTCAGTGCAATCCCCATCAAAATACCAACGGCATACTTCACAGAATTAGAACAAATACTTCAAAAGTTCATATGGAACCAAAAAAGACCTCGAATAGCCACAGCAATATTGAAAAAGAAGAACAAAGTTGGAGGGATCACATTACCAGATTTCAGCTTATACTACAAAGCCACTATAATCAAAACAGCCTGGTACTGGCACAAGAACAGGCAGATAGACCAGTGGAACAGAACAGAGAACCCAGAAATGGACCCAAGGCAATATGCTCAATTAATA